CCGGACCAACTCCCCTAGGACTCTAGTACGTCTCGTATCGAAGTTCACCGAAGGGGCAACATGGCTGACCATGACACAGCGCCAATTGGAGGACAGGCATGACCTCGCACAGCGCCGCTGTTATGGATTTTGTTCTTCGTACCGTGCCTGAATACACGGAGAGAATGCAGCTCGCAGCTCCAGCCTCCAACTTTGAGCTTCTCACTCAATTCCAGCCTGTGACCAAGTCGATGGTGGCCCATGGCGACGAACGAGGTGGCAACGTCCTCGGCCTTGGGAGGGTGGTCGCAGACGGTCCGGCTCTCATGTGGCTCCTAGCACTCACGGTGGATACCGCAGAGAACCAGAAGTTGATCTTTCCTCTCTTACTCAAACTTGAGCGTGTCATCAACAAGTTTGCTGATGATGAGAAACTCCAAAAGGACTGGGAGTTTTTGAACTACAGCGGTCTCGATCAGAAACCACTCCTGCACTATGGCGAGGACATAGTCCACTTTCTGAGGAACGTTTCGTTGGAATACGACCGAAACCGAGTTTTCCAGGACCTGCGGAAGACGGGCTTCCGGATTCCCATCTAAGTCCTACACGATCGGCGGGCTTGATGCGGAGTGAACAAGAACGACCGCAGCGTTTCAAGTATACAGATGCCAAAGAGCAGGCTATTGCTTGCTTGGCTTTGACTGATAAAGAGAAAATATGACAGTAATAGATGATAGACACATGGGACCATAATATTAGTTGTTTGAAGATGTTGACCCTGAGCCGTCTGTCGAGAGCTGCGCATGCACTCGCACTGCCCGATTGACATAAGGGTGCTTCAAATGCCACGTTGGGCTTGTGTCAATCTCTCATCTTCACGATGGAGATTTTCATGATTTGTGATTCACATAGATGATATGGAAGTAGCACTATCACGGATAAAGAAATTGACATGATCTTGAGACAATCCGTGATCGAGTCTCGTGAGGTGCTAGGGATGAAGTCGGCATGCGTGGACGTTCGATGCATGCGAACCAAACTCTAGATCGGAACAATCAACGTGCCAAAGCCTCGAGGACCGCACCAATGGTGCAGAGTCGATGTTGAAATCGCACAAGCGTGAGAGTCTGCCAAGCGAGACATGCTCCAATCTATGCTCCTCACAACATACGAGACGAGTTGTTCTTTCGATAGGTGCCACAATCTGTATTTGAATGGAGCGCTGGGGACGTCTGAAGGACCATCCCCAAGAATCATAGCGGGGGAGCTTCGATGTGGCGCGGATTTCGCAACTGCAATTAAGAGTCATATTTTTCCAAAACATCTAGCTCAAATGCAATGAGTCATCTGTGGATTTTGAGTATGTCAGGATCTTTGTGGTCTCCGTATGTCTCGGTAACCGAATCGGCGAAGAGCAGGTCCAGAACGACGGAAATCCGTGAAGTCTCGGTAATGAGCTTTGGCTGTGTCGTTTGCATGTCGCTAGACAGTGACTGTCTTAAGAAAGCAAGCACTGGTACATACACAGATACCCGGGACGCGCGGACGTTGGGATGCTTGCATGGCCAGCGGCACACTATCGAGTTTTCGGGCGCTACTGAGTGGGAATACCGCAGGTCTCGCTTGGCGGGCGGATTGGCATCAAGACCTGCCGGGCACACCCAGGGGTAGGATGTGAATGCCACGAACGACAATTCTGGCTGATGTGTAAGTTCCTTGCTTGCTAACAGACTTCAAGGTAAGTTTCCTAAAGTCCTGGATGGCTTAGGTCGGTGAGTCGGGTAATGCGTATATGTACGTATTGCGAGCAAGACGGGGGTCATGGTGGCTTGCTGGCCTACCTTGTAGCAGCATTAGCTCCAGCAGCTCCGGCAGGGGTGTTTATGGGCCGAGTAACCGCCCATCAAAACCATCTACTTGGCAGGAAGTCTTAATTTCGTTTCTGGAGGTAGACTAGGGTGAAAATGGGAAGAAGGCTGGGAGATACAGCGGCGACGAGCATGCCGGTGTCAGAAACTTGGCCGCGAGTACCCATGGTTGGAGCGATATGAAAAGCACCTAAGGGTTTGAGGGACAACATTCAAGGCCAGACTGGCCAGCATCCTCAGACTGCTGGACTCATTCAACGTGAAACTTACATTATACCACTAGCGTTGAGAGTCCGGAATGTATCACGGATACTGTTATCTGCGTCATCGTACCAAACTAAGAGAAACCAAGGATTCAGGGCCTAAGCATGTGCCTTGCAGACGACAGTGTACCTGAATCCCGGGGTCTTTGGACTGAGTGCCTCGTTACTACCAGCACCTATTCCTCTCTGATTGGTCGGAGCCTCGACGCCCTTAATATAAATAAGCAGCTTTTTCCTTGCCTCGGGACTTTGCTGGAAGCCGTACAAGCCACAGGCTTCTCGATACGAAGGCGAACTCTACCATGTCAGTAAGCTCGCAGCTCTCTATAAGTACAATCTGATGATCTGCCAGGACTTGCCAGCGCTGCTGGAAACAGAAACCGGCCTACGAAGGAGGTCAGCTATGCAAAGAATGCGTATCTGCAGACGAACCACGAATCGTAAAAGTGAGTCGAGGTCTTAAGGACTCTCTGATCTGCTTTGTTATCCCTTCACGGTCTTAAGAAAGTAAGGACTCGAGTTAGACTAGCAATAAAGCTTATTCATTCTTCATAGATATGCGATCAATGTTTTACGTCCAAGACGAGATGCAGCTCGGGATCGCCATGCCAACGCTGCCAAAATCGAAGGATTAAATGCTCTTATCGAAGACAACATAGAGGCCCCGTAAGGTCACGGACTACCGGTCGCTTCAGGGCACTCTTGCCACGGTCCAATGATCAACTCGTATCTGTTGCAGCCTCCGGAAGGGACGCTCCTTTACACACAAGATCCATGACTTTTGGTGTGGAAGCAAACCAATCCAAAAGCGAAGTCGGCCCAAAACACCCAGACCAAGGATATCAGCCCGTCCCAGGACCGCAAGCGGTCGACCACTCGAAACCCTTCTTATCACGAACCATCGGTCACTTGGCAGCCGATATAGCCTCCGAAGAGGGCGCCGCACTGCATCCAGAATTCGAGTCTGGATGTAGAATGATCCATTGGGTGGTATTCCAACGATTTACCCCGAGCGGATTGGCTTACAATGGTTTGAAGGAAGACTATTGTGTGCCCCTCCATCTTGTAGATGGTTTTGGTGACTCGATGCTTCAAGCTATGAAGAATTCACGCCGCATGCTTCCGGAGCCAGGTTACAATCAAGACTATCAGGTTGCTCTGATGATGGCATTCCCAGCGTTCGTCATGTAAGTGAACCGTTGCCCTTCGTCGAGCCAATTTGACTGAGAAATAGTCGGATCCATTACGTCGCTTACTTGAATTCCCGGCCTTTAAATCCCTTTTTGTATTTATGCGACTCGGACTTCTACTCCAAAGCCAATGCCCCTCTCACTTATCATTGCTCAGAGTAAATGCGTACATCCCCAGCCAGGATATTATGGCCGACGGAAATACGCTGCACGGCTTGTCGCGCAAGCCTTCGCTTCCGTCATTTAGACTCTCCGTGCCCGGCCGCCTAGTCCATCCTAGCAAAACACGGATGCCGGGCTGTCATTGAAAAGGTGTCATTCCAAGAAGATCGCCGGATCTGGACAGAAGGAAGCTCCTGCCTCTCCCTACAACCCACAACGTCATCAAAATTCGAACGCTCGCCAATTCAGTTACGCCCTCGCTGCCAGCAACTCGACTTCAACAAAAGCTGCCGAGACAAAGGTGACGATAATAAAGAAAGCTAGCCATCCCCAAGTCCAAATCGATCGACGCATCACAGACAAATATGGTACAGCGCAGGTGGAAAAGTTGTTTCAATCGTCTTGAACAAGTGGCAACTCGTAGTCCTTTCAATCTTGATAGAATAGATCCGTTACGAAAGGCCATTCAATACGAAACAAGTTCAGAAACCATGATGTCGAACGCACCTCTAGAGCACGATAACAACCGCAGTGGGGAAGGACAATCGGTCAGTGTCGCCATCTTGGACGACAGCGTCCCGTGTCGATACAGGTCTATCGCGGCTGGGTCCTGAGGACATGGCCCTGCCCCTCCCATTGATCTCCACGGCTATCCCCCGCTCTTTTTGTGTGATAAAAAATAGTCAGTCGGGAAGAGCTGACATAGGCGGCCCCCGGTTGTTTACCACGACTAGACTACCCCTTCTTCTCCATATACTTGTCCTTTCAATGTGTCGTAGTTTGTCTTGTTATCACTATCCCGAACATTGCAAGACATGCAACTTGAGAAGGACGAGTTCTTTGGAGCCGCCAAGCAGTATCTCTCACATCTCACTGGCCAACTTGACAGCATGCTTCTGCTGTAAAGCTTCAACATATCTCGATATGTGGCATCACTGAGCCTTGTTCTTTCCCAAACTTCTAGTACCCCTGATTCTGGGATTAAGTCAATTTTCCTCTGCTTCCTCTTTTTCTGGAGGTTCAAACTGAGTGAACCAAGAGGTGAGCGGCGGCTGATATCCGTCCGCTCGAAGTTCACCACCACAATACCTCCACCCCCAACGCTGTTGTTGCGTAGCATGTTGCGTGGCTCTGCATCGCCATGAAGAACACTCAATTAAGTGACTTCTTATGCGCCTGGGCAACTGCGTCAATGCCCGTGTTGACTGCTTTCTTAGTGGGGTCGAACAGAGGCGTTCCAGTCCAACTGGGGAACAAGACATGCTTGTATACGCCACTGTCGTAGTATAATGATAGAATTAATTTTTTTCCGTCCCAATCAGACGAAATGGTGTTCTCCCTGAATCGGGAGAAGTGGATTGTATACCTCATTCTCATGGCGGGGGCGAGCTAGGCCCAACGTCTCAAAGCCTTTGGCAACAAGAGTGTATCCATGAAGGACGTCCTGACTTTGAAGGGTGAGCCAATGAAACCAGATAGACGAAGTGGTACATCATCGGCACTGAAACCACAGTCTTTTGCTAGCTGTATAATTATGGATTGATCGGGCTGGTTGAGGTGCTGATGGCTGTGAGGCTGGGAATTTGGGCGGGGTTTAGCCGTGAGCCAGCCGTTCACTAATTCAGGCAGCCATTGCAGCGTACAAGACAGGCGATCTTTCATGTTCATCTGCTTCTATTGGCGATACTAGCGACTTTCCTGTACCTGTCTACTAGTCGAGCCCGCCCTCGACTTCGTGTATGCCCTTTCGCCACTGAGAATCAACGGTATCGTCTCGCTGTTTTGCGTTGCTGTCGGTTCACTTCTTCAAGACCGTGCCTAAATCGGCGAACGATTGAAACCTCGCCAGCGTTCTAATACGGATACGCGCGCGCATCCTTTGCCCTTGCGCACTGCTTCGGGTACGTTTCTTAGCACACTTTCGTACTCCATATCACAGGTGTCAAGACTCGGTTGGAAACGTGAGATGAAAATACAGAGGTGGCGCTTTCTGGTGGGACAAAGGCGACCAAGCATCACTGGAAGGATCTCCTTACGAAGAAACAGAATGCAGCGAGTGTTCGTTGACAATGCGGGATGATATTTGACAACAGTTTGCCGTGAGGATTGAAACGAACATGGACGAGAAGTATAAGAGACGAAATGATGTGTACATGAAGAGCTTAGCTGTAGTAATTCGCTAACTGGGGAACGGCGGGCAAGCCGCCTGTTGGAAGACCTTCCGTTAGGAAGAACGTTACGATTTCTGACGCAGCCAGGGTGAGTTTGGCGAACGAATGGGCGGCCATATGTCTGGAGCAGTGACGGAGTCATACGTATACATAGTCGTATCACGCCGGTGGTAGAGTCGCCCAACCAAGAAGAGAAAAATAGGAAAAGCAAAAATCGGTTCCGTCGTGATTCGGATCCAGGTCTTCGGTGTCGTCAGAGGATAGCTGACAAGCCGAAGGTCTTGTTATACGAAGCATGGCGGCTCTTGATGTGGTTACTTCAAATGGCACAAGTGGAGAAACAGAATGCAGCGAGTTTTCGTTGACACTGCGGGATGATATTTGACAACAATTTGCCGTGAGGATTGAAACAAACATGGAAGAGAAGTATAAGAGACGAGATGATGTGTACATGGAGAGTTTAGCTGTAGTAATTCGCTAATCAAGGCAAGACAGCCTACTTCCTTCCGCGTAAACTCCCCCGTTTGGGCCGCTTGGTCGGGCTAGCGCCGTCGTCGCTGTCGTCGAGGACCTCAATCTCCCCGGACCGCTTCGAGCCGGTAGGCGGGACTTCATGAAGTCCGTTGACCGAGAACGGATCATCGTCATCTACGAGGGTGTCCGAAACTTGTGATTCAAGCGGTGTCAGCTTATTCTACGAGCCGTTCCAGCCGTTACTTACTTGACTTGGATGGGGTGGCTGGCCCTTTCGCGTCTGCGGTCATCTGGGCAAGGGGATCAAAGACAAACCTCCCTTTGCCGCGGTTGGGGGTTTCTGGCTTGGACGGCGTGGCGAGGAGGTCGCGGGCTCCCGGATTCTGCCTTGGCTCACCAGCCGCCCAGTCAATTTTCAGAATCTCGATGAGCGGGACGAACTCGAGGGGGTTGTAAGGGCAGCTTTCAGAAAAGACGACGGCCTTGTTGCAGAAACCATGGAGGTAGCCAGTGACATAGGCCTTTTTCCCGTGCTTCCGGAACGGAGTTGTGTCGGCATGGTAGTCTTCACATTTCTTCTTCATGTGCGGCTTGCATTTAGGAAGCATGGCGTATACGTGGTTGGCATACCACCCCGTCTTCGGAGTATGCGCCGCCTCGGTGACGGTAAATTTCGACCAGATTCTGAAAACAGCTGATGAATTTCTGGTCACGCCGTCGAGGCCGACGGAGGGATTGTCAGCCAGGGGGAACTTCTGGGTGTCGACAAACCCGTTGAAGGCCACGAACGGCGGGGTAATGGGAAATCGAAGAGGTAGGTCGACGCAAACACGCTCAGAAATACTAAACAGCCTTAGGACAAGTATTCTGGAGCTGGGGACCTGGGGAGCTTACGGCATAAGGGCGTCGTCTTGGACCCATGCCAGACGCTAATATCCTATGTCCTCCTCGCCAGACAGACCACAAGGGACATAGCTGAAGTGGGGTTCGCAGATGATGCTAAACCACTGATCTTCCCATTCGTCTGTGGCTGATAAACCTCCCAAATGGAAGCGAGACAGGTCCAGGGACAAAGCGTCGGCATGCGAGGCGTCAAGAATGCCAGGAAACGTGTTGGCCAGCCATCCCGGCGTATGAAGTGGAATCTGGATCTGGCCGGACCAGTTCTGGTAACGGAACACTTGGAAGTCTCTATCCAAAGTTTCGGTGGCTACTATTTTCCCGACGGCGGACATCGTGAGTGGAAGACTCCACGGCGAAGGCGGCTTCAGCTCAGGCTTTGGCCAATAGGCAACTAAGTCGGGCTTTTCTGCACTCATGCTGTCTGGGAATGATGTAAGGCAATGCGGTCAGGAATCGAAGTGTGTTGGGGTCGGTGGAGGTCACAATGTTGGGGGAAAAAGCGAATCGGGCCGCGGCAAACTTGGCCTTTAAGAAAGAGGCTGTCTCCGCAAACAAGCAGGCAGAGAAAAAACAGATTGCAGGAGAAGGTCTTCATCCTACGCCTTGGACAAGGAATTCATGGAAGAACTCGGGCCTGGCGGTTGATTTAAGTTTGATTATCTCAGGTTGATGAGGAGACACCTGCTTAGTAGTGTAGTATTATTCACACAAAGTGGGAACGACAGGGTGCGTCCAAATGACGCTATTGGCAGAGAGGGAAGCACTGTTTCTCGATTCGTTCAAATTAAGTGACAATACGGGGTTGTATGCAGTAGTGCAGGAGGGAGGTCTTGTTGTTGGCAACACAAAGCGAGTAAAGACTTCGCGCGGAGCCGATTGAGGGCAAACGAGTTGCTTTGAACGACACTGTGATAAGATGACCTATCGCGACTAGAAGTTGTAGTGGCCTGTATCTTCTGCAAAGCAGAGAGAGGAGATGAAGCATTATTGCCAATTTACGTCCGTATAGTCGCAGGCAACGGAGTAGCTCTCACCATCTTGAACAGTTGAGACGTAGTCTATTTGATTTGTGAATTCAGCATGACAAAAATGCCGATACCATCGTCCTCCTCTAGCCATTATCTCCGCCCGATTCTACCAAGACCGACACTATCCAGCGAAGAACCGGATGCTCTTTCGGAGACGGACCGAACGCTGGCGCCAGTTCCGTCGTCCTCACCTGATAGCGGTACACATACGACCCAAAGCCGAGTGCGATCACCACCAAGACCTTCTTCAAGACAGAGAGTACAAAGAGCCTACAGCGCCGATCCGACACCTCCAACCGTGCAGATTCGCAAGTTGCTGCCAACACCACCGCCTTCGTCTGAAAATGTTGTACGTCTAACGGGAATCCATTCGCCGTCATTACCCGGACTACCGTCTAATCAGACGACGTGCAGTGAAGGCTTGGTCCCTCCGCCAAACCAGACCCCCCTCGCCCCGAGGAGAGGTCGCGGAAGACATGGCAAGACCCGCGATAACGATACTATGTGGGAGCAAAGTAATCGCCCAAGACTACTTTCCTGGCACCCCACATCGATGCAGAGTTCTAGTATGCCCGTCGCCCTAGGTTCGCAGCGGCCCAAACAGGTTCGAGAGAGTCCTGGTACAAGAGTTCTAGCCAGTGCGTGGGACAAACCTTCGGTTCCTAATGCCCAGCTTGGCCCTATTCCCCCGGGGCGTCTACCAGTTCGCCCCTTGATACCAAGAACTGTCCGGCAAATCGACCACGAAGGGTCACAAGATACAGTGGAGGCAAACGAGGCAAGAGAGGAGGAGATTCGGGGGATGATACAAGGGGCAGACCGCCGCCACATGCAGAGGAAGATGGACTCTGAGGATCGTGCATGGTGCGCACCGGTTCCACGGTCGACGATTCTGCAGAGAACCAAGGCGTTTCACGAAAGCATGAACGAAGACTCTACTCTTGACATTGATCACTGTAGAGTGTGTTATCAACAACAGTCTCCGAAGTCGCTGGTCGAATACACCTGGGTTGAGCTGGAGCCTCTCTACTCGAGGGTTGAGGACAAGATCCCGGAGCTGGACAGAGATCATTTTCTGTGTGTGCAGTGCTTCCCCCGGTCGTCAGGTGCGACTTTCCCCGTGTGCTCCGATTGCAAGACTTCCTTGCAGCAGGAGAAGTTGCCGTATGACTGCCATGTGAACAACTTGTCGCTGGGCTGCGTCCATAGGTATCCTGGCGCTTTGAGGGACCTCTCGCCGCTAGAGGAGCGCCTCATTGGTATTCACATGCCGTGCGGCTGGATCACGAAGTTGACCATCGACGTCGAAAAATCCACGAGTGGCCGCTATCGCAAACACAAGAGGGGCCATATCACGGTCTTTCCAAACGACGTCCAAGGATTGGCAGCCAATGTTTTGCCTCATCCACTCGTCGAAGAGCTGGAGAGACTGCACGTCTGTTTCGTCGGTCCCCGGACACCGGTGCCATCCGACCTAAGCTTCATGTTATCGGTCAACCCGCAACATCTCAAACGTGCTCTCGTGTGGCTCCGGGCGAACAACTCACTCTACCGAGATATCGTTATCAGTGAAGATCGCCTGCAGGCCTGGGGGAAATGGTGTCCTGGAACCGAAGTCCCACGCGTACTCTTCGAGAGGATGGTACCGTACGAGCTGCGTGCCGAGGACGAGATCCGGACAGGTCACTACGTCCCCCCGGCCGAGCGAGGCCGACCTGACGAGCCACTGCGCGATGCCCACGAGGTCATCGCAAGCCTAGAAGATAGAGAAACCGATGCTGCACAGCTCGAAGCTGAAAGTAATGCTAGGCTAGGCGGGCCCCGTATAGGCGGGCGCGATCCAGATGAGATGGATCCTCGCCGTGTAGAGGAAGAACTCTCAGAGTTGACCTCGACTGGGCTGATGGCTACTGAAATAGCGGGAGAGCATAGCCCGCAAGAACGACTTCGACTCCTCCGCAAAGCAACAATGAGAGGTTGCCAATGGCGGCGAGGCCAAAAGCGAAAGAATGATACCGAAGATACCAGACTTAGGTACCGGGATACGGAAGCCTACATAGTGAGCAGCAGAAGCGGAGACTTCGCCGACTCGAACGATCCCGATTTCTTCCCCAAGACTTTCCCCTGTCTGTTTCCATGGGGCCGGGGCGGTCCCAGGATATTGGAGGAAGAAGGAGACGATGAGTACGGGCCGGAGTCGGACGAGCCGCATGTCCGCAAGGGATACAAGCCGAACGGATTCTATCTCCGGACGTGGGCCCGCCTCTGCCTACAAAGGCACGGTAAGTAGCACGTCTACTTTCGCATGCACGAGTGAAGTTAGTAACGCAGTGCTAGGGGCTCACTTCGCCACACACCCAACCTTCGCGTTTTTGGTGTTCAATATGCTGGTTCGGGCAGAGAACCGGCGGATCAGTTATCTGCGGATGAAGAGAAGCTCATTTGCTGACATCGAGCAGATCGTGACATCTCTCACCGCCGACGAGATCGAAGAGGCGGAGCAAGAATACCGTGAGACACGGGCTACTTCCAACAAGAAAATGGCGTACTTGATTCGGGAGCTGAGCGCGTTTGGGCAACGACAGCACATGTCGAACGAAGAGCGCCTCCACTCGAGGAGAAAGATAAAGTCGCTATGTCTGAAGCATGGGATGCCAAGTGTCTGGTACACCATCAACCCGAACGACCTCACCAACGAGGTCAACATGAAACTCGCCGCCTTTCGGGTAGCGGATGGAGCGCAGGCCGAACAGCTGATGGATAAGTTCCGGAAGCAGATCGGTCGCGTCCAGCACGTCGTTCGAGATGCGGTTAGTTCAGCCAAGTTTTTCCACCGAGAGTTAGGGCTTTTCTTCCAGCATTGTGTTTCTGTTGGTGAAGGATCGATATTTGGCAAGCTTTCATGCTATTTCGGCTGCGTCGAGACGAACGAGCGTGGCGCTCTCCACTTACATGGGCTCTTGTGGCTGGACGCCAATCTTAGGCTCCCGGACTTGTTTAAAGATATTGCCGAGCCGAACAATGCAGGCTACGCAGAGCAGGTGTGCCAATATGTCGATTCGGTGTTCAGCGAGGCGCGTATACCGTTCTGTGAGATTGGAACGAGGCACTAATGGTGTATGCTTAGTGTTGCGACGAAGGTAAGGCGCGGCGATACCGTCGATGGGAGAGCGTATTTGCCGATATCAGGCATCTGACCGAAGACATCGCGAGCCTAGACGAAGTCTTCGATGCCGAGGCGAACTGGGTCGCGCACCGGTGTCAGATGCACAGTTGCGGGGCGACATGCACGAAGTACAGCTTTCATGACAAGAAGAACAAGGCCAGAAATCGACACCCCTGTCGCTTCAAAGCACCATGGGCACTGCGCGAGCGAACCGAGTTCACCAACGACGGGCTTCTGCACGTACGCCGAAACCACGAACGAATCAACAGATACAGCCCGGCCTTAGCAGTAGCCATGCGCCACAATACCGATACGGCATTTCTCCCGACCAATTCAGCCGGGCTTTCGATGGTGTACTACGCTACGAACTACTCGACGAAACTGGACACGCCGCTTTGGAAAAGGGCAGCGCTGGTCAAGACGGTGTTTGACGGGATGGCTGATGAAGATGACGACCATGCCCTGGCTGCTGGGGATGGCACGGAGAAGGCGGCGCAGCGGAACAACAAGACCCGGCGGTTCCTTGCTCGTACGGCTAACCAGATCTTCACTAGCCGAGAACTATCAGCCGTCGAGGTTTGCAGCAACCTCCTCGGGTATAAAAACAGCTACTGTAGCGAGACAAGCTGGGCCAACGTTTATCTCAGCACGCTCTACTGGGCAGTCTTCCGTCGTTGGGGAGGCCTTCGCGAAGCAGCAGGACCGGAGATGCAGCAGCGGGTAGTCCCCGAAACGATCGGATTCGGCGCCGGCGGCATCACTTTGCCGTCGTCCGAAGCGTACGCGTATCGTGGCCTGCTTCTGCGAGAGCTCTGTTTTTACGAATACGTCTCCATGGTCCGCGTACGGAGGGTCGGACGCAGGACTAGGATCGATCAGGCACGGTTCATACCCTTTGATCCTCGAATGCCGGGCCACGAGTCCTGGACACAAGAGTTACTTCCGGAAGCATGCCAAGCGATACCTGTCGTTACCGGCCACCTTGACCACGATGCCCAAAACACAGAAGAAGGGTACTACAGAAGGCAAGTATAGATGTATGTCTATATTGCAAGCTGCCTGATAGCTTAATATCAGCAGATCTGCAGTTTTACTACTCGGCCTGTTCGTACCCTGGGAAACCTTTGTGCAATCCACCGGCCAGGATCCCGTCGATATCTGGAAGAACTTACACACGGAACTCCCTGGTCGGGTTCAAGCCATCGTGAACAACATCCGGCTTCTTCAAAAGAGCGCAGAAGACGCAAAGAGAGATGCTAGGCTTTGGGCCAGCCGGAGCGAGGGCGACGAAGGATACGAGTTCGACGGGGCAGAGGAGGACCAAGAGCCTGGCGGGGAATGGTACCCAGACAAGACGGATTTGAGGCATACGTTTCACGATGCCGTTTTCAGCCTGCAAGATGGCGCAGGAGTCGCACATGATTCTCCAGGCATCCAAGGGCTACTGGAAACATTAGACACATTCGGGTTCTCCGGCCTAGAGGATCATCCTGCGGTACAGAATAGTAACACCCAGCCGCATGCGCAGATGAAAATGCCGATGCGGCATCTGAAAGCCACCAAGGCAGCACAGGAACGGTTCCACAAAGAGAGAATGCTGGCAATCGAAGGTGATGAACTTGGCGCGGGGCTGTTCCACCCCGGTGCGGAAACGGGGTTCGGCGACGGCGAGGCCTATGCGGGGTTCCCAGCCCGTCCCGAAGAAGGCAGTTCGAAACCTGCGGCAACGTGGGTCAACATCACAGCAGCCGATACCTTTCAGCGGGCAGGAGCGGTCATCGGTGCGGATAGGACGTTGAACCGAATGCAAACGATCGCGCTTGGCCTCATCTGTGAGGCACTCGACGAGCAGCGAGTGAACGGCGCTGATCGACAACACCTGCAATATATCGGCGGAGGAGGCGGGACCGGCAAGTCATGGCTCATCGATACACTGAAAGAGGTCTTTGCAGCCAAGGAAGCGTCCAGTCGACTCGTCATCACAGCAACGTCAGGGACAGCCGCAGCAGGGATCGGCGGCACCACGATCCACTCCGCCGTAGGGCTAGCCTTCCGAGACGCGGAAGGCGCCACCGTAGAGCCACTGTCGTCTACCAATCTAGAAAGGGCCAAAGAGCGATGGCGGAGGCGGGATGTCCTTGTAATCGACGAGACCAGCATGCTTGGGCTTCAAACGTTATACGATATCGACAAAAAGCTCAGAATGCTGAGAGGCTTCCCGGAGAAGTGGTTCGGTGGCATACCAGTTGTCGTATTGACCGGCGACTTCCTCCAATTCCCGCCCGTACTGCAAAAGAGCCTGCTTAGCAATACCGGGGGAGATATCGCGGTTACGGGGAGCACAAGATCGAGCAGCCGAGCAGCAGAGAGACGCTGGAAGGAGTCCGAGGCCAAGAAACTATGGCAGGGCTTCACCAATGTCGTGATGCTCGAAGAGCAGAAGCGGGCTGAGGGAGACACCCAATTGCTTGGTTTTCTTGAGCGCCTTCGAGAGGGCAGACAGACGAGAGAGGACGCAGCTATGCTGGGGGCACGGTATGACGGCAAATCGAAATTCGATTTCTCCGGCGGCAGGCGTGCTGTGATCCCCCTGAACCGCCACAGGTGGGAACTCACGTTACATGCGGCCCTGGCGTACGGCGCGGAAACTGGTCGTCGGGTGTCAATATACCTATCGAACCACAGGTGGGAGTCGCGGATACCTACAGCAGCCGAGAGAAGAGCAGCTATGCTGTTGGGAGACGAGGGCAAGTTGAGCGCGGCCGGTTTGTTCCCTTACGTCGAAGGTATGCCGGTCGTGATCACCGAGAACAGGTACATGGGTCTCAAGGTGGTCAATGGCGCAGAGTTCACAGCTGCGGGGATCCTCCACCCACCGGGGCTTGAGGAGATTGTCATAACTGAGAAGCTGTCTGTGTTCCTCGGGCCGCCCAGCGGTATCCTCCTCCGTTCCGAAGAGACGATAGGGCTGGCGTTTCCTCACCTGCCACCCGATACCGTGATGTTGCCGTCAGCCAACTTCCGAGTCCCGGAGAAGCATGCCAAAACACTCCGGCCCGGTTTGCGAGATTGCAATACAAAGCTGGGGCTCGTCCGGACAGGGCTGCCGTGCACACCAGGCTTCGCGTTGACCGACTTCAAGGCTCAGGGGCGGACACTGGGCAAGACGCTGCTGGGGCTGTACGGGAGAACGACGGGGAGAATTGCAGGAGAGGTCGAAAGATGCGACCCAGTGAGTATGTATGTGCAGCTATCCCGCGTGCGGCGCTTTGACGATATAGCTCTTATACAGCCGCTGAACGTGAGCCAGTTCCTAGAGGCACGTATGCCGGAGGAGCTGGTCGAGGGAGCCAAGAGGCTGAAGCTGGTCGCAGAGACGACAGTCAAAGAATTCGAGGCGCGGCGGAGACGCGAACAACAAGGGGGCGGAACAGTGCCCGTAGAATCGTCAATTGTGGAAGAGTAGCTCATTCACACTCCGGTAATGGATCAGATACATCTTCGTCTGAATTGGTCCTGGGTTGGTCGCGGTTGGTGTTGTCTCGCCCATTCTCGTGGATCCCAATATCGGGCGAAGAGAGTGGATGAGCAGCAGGTGCGGCCCGAGGCCGTACAGGATCAGCCGCATTCCTTCGCGTCTCAAATGTACGTTGGAAAGACAAGATCAAAGAAATTTCCGAAACCTGTTGGCCCAGTTGTTGAGACTCGTGTGATAGGTGCGCCATCGAGGCGTGGACCGCGTCTAGCCTTGATGTTAGGGACTTATATTGAGCGACTAGCTCGGATGCGTTCATCCTAGCCAGTGTGGAGGCACGTGAGGTGATGCCTGGGTTCCCGAGAGTCTCGAGCTCCATTTCCCACCGATCCAGCGCAGGGAAACAATCGGCGAGCGTGCCCGGCGGCTGACCGATCAAACCCAATGGTACGCTCGAACGTCTAGCAAAGGAGGCGTCTGATTAGAGGGTTAACACAAGCTGGGCGTGAAACAGAACAAGGTAGGGTAGACGTGCGGTAGCTACACCGAGAACCCGCGTTGTTCCACCAACAGTTGGCACAGCCGCCTTTCGTAGCCTGTATGCCCTCGGGGGACTGCAGTACCACGCACTACTTCCAAGGCCCATTCGCGCGGGCGCATCGGTTGCATGGGGGACGGCGCTCAACGCCGGTGGCCTGTGCCAGGGCAGCAACGACACGATAACCGTGGCCCAAGGAGAGCGGTTTGCCCTGTTTTCGGGGAACAAGCTCGCGGGTCACGGGAGAACAGGACAAGACCTCCACAGCTCTGCTGGTGCGCCTAGAGTCTTCAACATGAAGCCGATCCAGCAGGTCGCCGCCGGCTGGAGAAGCCGTCAGTGAAATCCAAGTAATCAAGCGGGTGAAGGAAGAAGTGAGCTTACTGTCGCAAAGAACGGGAGGAGGCTGAGAGGTAGACATCGAGAAGGCCGGCGATGCCCGAGAAGCAGCCGGGGTGGAGGGAAACAACGGGAGTTTCTACTTATATGAGGAAGAAGAAGCAAAATTGGTAGACAAAGAAGAGAGATAAGCAGAGTAGCTCAAACAAAGTTGAGCCAGGGGTAAGCGGCGAGAGAAGAACGACGGCGAGTGGGGCGGGAATTAAACCGGAAAATCGGTAAGAAAGCGGGTAAGCAAGGGGAAGGATCGTATCGCGACAGATCCTAACGCTGATTGGCCCAAGCAGAGGTGGATGGAAGCTGATTGGCTGACTGACTGAGAAAGCTTTGCGATTGGTTGTAGATTATCTACAGCCAATGACGATCGATTTCTTACGCACCAATCACAGAGCGCGCGACAGGGGTGAATCAAGGCATAGGGACTTTTTCCCCCCCTCGCGGATGGAGAAGTTAACCTTCCTAACGGAAGGCAAAAGGCAACGTGTCGAGTAAGTTTTTGCGGCTGTTCCGAACCTTTGTAGTTGGAACGCCTATGAGTCCACAGTGTACCGCAGTCTTAGGGGTGGCGCTGCCCCAACCACCGTCTGATACCGTTTATCACAAGACGAGAGGACGCGGGCCCACACCGCGCGGCGCACACATTACGCCAGGAAAGCGCCAAGGACTATTGAATGCGAGGAGGGGTTTTAACAACATAACCCACAGGACGTAGGCAGCGAATCACGGCGTATTCGCCCAACGCGAGATCGATAGCTCACCGCGGTAGAAGGTTTCGACACTGTACTTGACAATACAGCATTGAGTTTTAGTCGGCGGGTGGACGATAGTGATAGGTTGATACCGGATTGGAAAGTGCATAAAGTGTTGTGATCCCTGCAAACCTACGGAAATGCCATGCAGCCGAAATGGTCAAGTGCGTTCAAGACTATTACATAATTTCTTGACCTAATGTCCATCCTCAGGCAACAATATCTTGACAAAACATGTGACATGATTGAGTCTCCTCTAGGTCCACAATTTGCGGCAGTGTGACGAATAGAGCCTTCCGTCTTGGAGTGCCTTGCGACAACTTCGCCGTCCAGCACCAACTCAATCACCATGACTCTTTCCATCACCCTCACCCTCCGCCTGAATGGGCTTCAGGCAGACGTATTTCACCAACCGGAACTATGCAATGAGGCTCACGAACTGGGGGTTCAATTTTTGGATATGGTGGAGATGGCCCGCGACTTTAGCTCAGCGCTTCACAATCCCCGCCCACAAAAGTCAAGAAATAACTTTTTGCGCTTCGTTTTTGAGCAAAGCCATGATCATGATCAGGAAGCAACGAACCGCAAGCTTAAGCTCCGGGCTTTGAACGGTATAAGTCTTGTCCTCTGCGCCGCAACTTATACGAAAAATTCGATACTTGGCTTCTCAAAGGGCCGTTTCAACATACTCCTTGCACACTGCAGCAGCTTCCTGGGGAGTCCGGCAGTAGTTGCATCCAAGCTGCCTTCCCAACTTATCCAAACATCACTTGCGGCTCCAATCCATGCTATCGATGATGTTTCATACCGGAGGTTCCGCAGGGGTGAGTTCAAAAATCTCTCGCAATCTTAATTTTACCATCCCTGACTTTGAAGATTTGGCAAAACTCCAAACGGGCTTAGGGGCTACACAAGCCTCGATTGACCTAGGTCTAAAACAAGATCACGGTCTTTGTCGCAGGGAATCAACTGCCTGGCCAAAGGAACAAGTGTCAGCTTTGCTGTGCGTTCAAGACCCTGCCGTTCTATTTCAAAGAACTAACTTCGTAGCCATGGGCCCCAATGTATTACTTTCTGTGTTGTTCTTCGCCAAATTGCTCGACTCTGTAAAGATTTTGAACGCACGATACCCTGTTCAATCCACACGATCGAGGCTCTGGTGACCATTTCCAAATCTGGCTCCCTTGACGACAGTATGCAACTTCTCGACACCGCTGCAGATATGCTCACGGACTTGGTACCAGTCTCGACGTGGGCATCTGTCGTGCATCGACGCAGCATAGTCCTACGACTTCTTGGTGATCCCCAGAGCTCCGAGCAGGAGTTGCATACGTTCATTCGGCGGTCACCTAATTTACCAGGCCACCTTCTCATACCTCTTCAACTGTCCCTAGCAAACAACCTTATCTACCAACTGAAGTACACAGACGCTGCCCAGATTGTGCGAGAAATCCAAGTCACAAAGGATCTCCAAGGCGACCAAGTTCAATTGATTTGGGATCAGATTTACTGTGTTGGTCGCGTTATGAGGGGCCAAGGCGACTTCGAAAGTGCCAGAATCTGCTTTGAGCAATGTTTCAAAACCTATGGTATGCGGAAGTCCAAAAAGATCATTATTCAGACAGCGCTGGCAGACCTTTATTGCGAGTTAGACTACAAATCTCAGGATGATCAACGCTATCACCTGTTTCAAGCCAGGTCATTGCTCGAGCCTGCCCTCGAATCAGTTGGAGTAGCTAACTCAAAGAGCCGCCGGCGCCTTCTCTTGTCTTTGTCGGAGATCAACCTTCGGGAAGGTCGACTTCATGAGGCAAGGAAATCATTGGAGGAACTATTAATTCTCTATGGTGGCATGGACTCTTTCGATGTCGTCGACCGACTTGGACACGTTCGTTCATACATCGCGTTAGCTCGCACGTACCCTGATGGCCAAGCTGAGCCTCAGTGGAGGAATGCTCTGCGTCTCAACGCAGAGTACAACCCATCTGAGGAAGAAGTGTTCACTTGTGCCATCATTTATTTGCACCTCAGCTGGCTCAGCTACTGCTCAGGGGAGTTGAATGGAGCACAGAATATGTACGCATGTGCAGGGAAGGTTCTCAACAGAAGAAGACCTGAGTATTTATTACCCGGAGTTGGCACGTATGTTTTCGATGAAATCCAGTGTAAATTACGTAATGCAAATTTGTGAGGCGGCCTGGGAACACCCAGCTATTCAGGATGTAGCTAAGGATGCCTCGTCCTCACCGGTTGCTGCATACCCACGCCGTGCCGAAGCAGATCGTGAGCGTCTCCGTCGTGGCTTTTCCACTAGGAACAAAAATTCGTGCCCATCAGGCAATTCACCAAGAGGCCAGTTTCCATCTTCCTGGAACCAGGCAAGAGCCTCGAGGGGTTCAGCGTGATCAACATAGAACTTAGAATTCACGCCCGACACCATTCCGCTAGCATCGTCGGAGTTAAAAAGCCGCCCGCAGAGCTGCGCCTCGCGAACATAAACAATCGGCGACGCCTTTAGCACATCAGCGGCATGGTCCCGAGCATAGTCCATCGAAACGTCGGAAAATCTGATATCTTCATAACTAGTCAGCAACAAGTTCGCCAGAGGAGTCTGGTCCATACCTCCGATTGCCTTCGCGAGGGCTTTACACGCTGCTGGATGGGAACTCATAATCCCGAGCACATCATCGTCGTCATCGATCAAGTTCAAGAGAAGAGTAGTTGCGAGCCTCTGTTCTCGGTAATTGCTGTGGACCACCAGTTGGGTGATCCAGCATACTCGACGATTCGCATGCTCCCAGCGGCAAGCGAAAGCATTTCCTGCTAGAACGCCATCGATATGGATGGTGACATATGTGTTGTTCGATCCCTCGGGAAGACATTGCACCCGTAGGCGGTCTGCGCTCATCTTGACACGACTCCCTTATGACATTTTAGCAAGATATTGACAGATCAAGGGTAGGAGAGTGATTACCAGGACTCCCAGGTCCTTCATTGCCCCAGACGCCGTAGTTCTCGCTGAAAAGTTTTGCAGCGTCCTTCAACATGGCGTCAGTGACTTGTTGGCCATTGAAGTTGCTGACAAGCTTTGCCATAGTCTCTGTTGATGTTTTCCTTCGTTTTCGACGGGGATCGTCTGCTTCGAAGGTTTTAACGTCGGGAAAATCAGAGAATCGCAAAGACGGGGAGCTTTCTGGCGCCATAGTCGAGCAGATGTTGTTAGTCTTATGGGAGTTGGTACGCCAACTCGCGAGGTGATCACTGGCAATTCGGATCAGACGTTAAACGCTCAGCCTTTTGGCAGGCGCTTCCATCACGCAGCTATTGGCCCTTTCCTCAGATGAGGGGCAGGCACACGAAAAAATACCCACTTCCTCATCAGCAATTGGTGACCTTCCTGAATGTGGGGCGTGTGCTACCCCTCCAAGGGGGAGAAGTAGATTCTGTCTGTCTATTGGTAGTTTCCTCAAATGTGGGGCGCGTGCGATGCTACCCTACCCTGGCTCATGGTATCTCACTGCCTGTCACGGCTCCAACGTGCGTCTACATTACTAACAAGCGTGCAAGCTTCTTATCCAGGTGTGGTTGACGTACGTTCACTCCCAGGGGTCGCTAGGATAATCACAGGCCGACATTACCAGAAACGAAGCATAATTCGATGCAATTGCCACCGTAAGCCCAATGAGGACGTCACAAGGTTGGACCAACTCGGCAAGGGAGATACTACTGGATCATCCAAAGCGACCGATTCGAATCATGACCTGATTACGCGTGCTTCTTCTGCGAATGAACCCCGCTGTCTGGTCGCTCGGCTTCCGAATGGCATCCACTCGAAGTATAATAAGGCAGCCTTAAGAAGGCTTGTTGATCGCATGGTTCGCAATGCAGCAAAGGCTCAAAGCAATACAGTCCATCTCATTATGTCTACCTGGAGAGAATACCGACGAATGTCCGAGACGGAATTGGCGATTTACGGCCGAAAATACTCACAAATTGCTGAAGAGAACCATGAGCGTATATCGGTTTATATCAAGATTTTCGACACAGTGGTGGTAATTGAGACGGATGAAAATATTACGATACCCAAAGCCGATTTCGACCAAACCATGGCGAAGCGCGGACAAAATATCGCACTTCGGCGTGCTCTTCACGGCTAATCTATGAGGATACCAACAAGTAGAAGGACGATCTGACAGAGAAAGTCAATTCATCACGGTTAAAGGCTTGATACTAGATTGATCCGCACCATACGAGTTTCAACACAAGTTCGCAACAACGAAATAAGACAGCAAAGCGAAGGATGTGCGAGCAGTTTTTGGTAGTTCACTATCATGGGTTTTCGACGCGCTTCGCAGCTGGCACGTCAGGGAGAGGCACAGGAAAGCGGCAAAGTAACACTGCCGGAGGCCAATACTTGGACAACAAAAGCTCATCAACCAACGACCAACTTCTCTGTCCAGCTAGCCGATTACATACTGATGCTATTCAACGCCAAAGGTGCAGATGTATCCAAAGTCTAAGAATTATAAGAGAGCGACTGGAATTAAGAACAGATAAATAACGAATACTATGATTTGGAAAGGGTTGAGTAATCATCCTTGCGTCATGCGTCACCATATGCTCCAGATCAGAAGAACGCGGCGTGCATCAAGACGTTCACCAATGAGGAGGAATTAGGCTCAGCTCAAAATTTCCTCACATAGCCGAAGTATTGAGCTAAGCTTCCGGATCTGGTCAACTGTGCAGAAGACTTCGTCGAGCGTGCGTGGTTTGCTGCCTCTGGATGAATGTAGAGGCGTTTGCCCGTCGCTGGCTCACAGCTGGCCCGCCAAGGTACTGGACTTGCACAATCCTGCAAAATTCGTGGCCTAGACTGAAGGGACCCCGTTGCATTCCGGTCGACATGGGGATCTTCCGAGCCCCTCTGCAATTTCCCTACTAATGCGAAAGAGAAGAGCTGATCATGTTGCTCATGACAAGCATCGCTCTGTCACTCCTCCATGGGTTCTAGCCTAAATTCTTTGTCCGTCTAGCTCATAATCATATTTTGTAGAGATGTTCGAAAGACTTTTAGGATGTACCGTAAGCGGTGCTATGGCTTGGCTTTTGCGTAATGCTGCAAACTTTTCGCTTCTACCACAGCGTCATAGAGTAAATACGTACTCTACCTGACGGTGACGAGCCAAACGCGAGTTTCAGAGAACAATGAACGTCTGAAAGGGCCGCCGGGATGAATAGGGGTCTGTACTATCGCTAATAGCACGTTTATAAAGATATGACAGATCGTTACCTTGCGTTCAAGAGTATCTCGGCCTAGCTGCCACAATAGCCTTGTGTCAGGCAACCAGGCAACTGATTACAGACTGCGAACGCATATCAGGCAACAGGCCAGCTCATCCCGTCGCGCGAGATACCCAAGATTTCCTGTGCAAAATGATCCGCATAATCTTGATATAGAAGCAACCAGGATAGCGTTCGTATTACAGCATATACATGAGATTATGGACGTGGTCTCGCATTATCACCTCGCATAGTCCACTCGCAGGCCATTGGAGTCTGAGAGAAGCCCCTCGGTAGCAGGAAATCAAGCTGTCTCAGGCATGCCGAGCCTGACTTGCGGCGCGGCAAACACAAAGCGACTCAGGCCGGGCTGTAGAATCTCTAGCATGGGCTGAGGTGATGCTAGTTTCTGTTTCCGGTCATAGATGGGAGGCTCTGCAATAGCAGAGCACTATAGAAAGTCCACGCTTCTCCTCGCACTCGTGTCTCGTGCTGGTGTGAAATGACTCAATATATTCATCATGGCGTCAGAGCATGACTCCTACCAATTCCTGACATTGCTCTTAGTTCAGACTTTAAGTAGTCATGCAACTGCCATCTTCAAACAAGCAGTGGCAATACTAGCTGACTTCATATGGAATGCGGTCGTTGTTTCCCAGTCGGTTAGCAATGACGACTCTTTTTACCCGGCGGTACTGCGATGGACAAGCACTTGCAAAGGGCTCTCGAGGAGACACCAAATAGTGGGCTTGGACGAGGCTCCATGGCTGAGCCATTTACGAATGGGAGATATCGAGGGACCTGCCGACAAGCCACTGTTCTTCACCCCAAGTCCCGGCAGATGCTATTTCTCCTTGAGGGGCAAATTCTTCTGGGTAAATCGGCAAATCATGCGAACAATGCCGGGAGGGCGAAGAGAAACGATTACGATCAAAAGTTTCGGCCGAGATCCGACTGCCATCAAAGAACTTTTGCGGTCGATCAAAGCAGACTACTTCGAACCAAAGCCTGGCAAGGTAGCGATATACGAAGCTTCGGGCGATCAGGAGCCCAAGTGGGAGTTGGTCACATCGCAGTCACGCGATATGTCTACCATTGCCATGGATCAAGAGCAGAAACTGGCCGTAGTGAAGGACTTGAAAGACTTCCTGGAGCCGACTCAGTTCAAGTACTACTCTGAGCGAAGTATTCCGTTTCGTCGCGGGTATCTGTTCCATGGGCCCCCAGGGACTGGGAAGACATCTTTCTGCGTGGCCTTGGCCACTGAGTTTCAACTTGATATCTATATCATAAGCGTTGGTGCGGTAGACGACAAGTCTCTTGGTAAGCTGTTTCGACTGCTTCCGATGAGATGCATTGTACTGCTTGAGGATATCGAGACTCCTCAGAGTACACACAAACGCCCGCAGCCCCCTGAGCGACGTCAGGAACCACAACAAACGCAACAGGTCACCGACCTCACACGCTCGGGCCTTCTTAACATACTCGATGGCGCTGGGGCCCGACACGGACGTGTTTTGATCATGTCGACCAACCATCGCAGCGAACTTGACCCCGCTATCACCAGACCCGGGAGAGTGGATATGGAGGTCGCGTTTGCGTTGGCGAACCAGGAAACCGCGAGACAACTCTTTCGTTCCTTGATCCTCACAGGCTCTTCCATCACAGAAGAGTCCGCAAATACCAAGACCGCCGACACGAGTCGTGACTTCGCAGCAGAATTTGCAGAGAACATTTCCGAGGGCGTGGTCTCTCAGGCAGAGTTGCAGGGGTATCTGGTACGGAGGAGGCGTGATCCGCAGGCTGCTGTGGATGAAGTTTCTGCATGGTTCAAAGAGAAAAGTGGTCTACTGATAGACTGAAACTGATTCAAGAGGACGCAAGCCCTCTGATTCTTTGATGGGTCTGGCGAAGAAGTGTTTTGGGATCGAGGATATGTGTTCATGAAAGTAGCCGTGAATGCGGAAGTGGTTGAGACGGCAAAGTTTATGGACGAACGAAAACATGTACTGAGAGCTTATCGTGTATTCGGCAACAACAACGATGTGTTCAAAAGACAGCCTTGATGTCTCGTTATGCATGATTGGAGGGGTTGGCCGACATTGAATCGACGCCCGCTTTCGGAGCTCTTGAAGAGTGCACTCGAGAGAAGACGGCCCCAAGTCGGTCAAGAACTGAAGCAATCGGGAGATCCTTCGCGTCTGTGAAATATCGATATCTTAGAAACATCGTTGGTGTGGCCGTGGCTCTCATTTGAGGCCCGTACTGCGAGTTCAAGCAACTCAATGTTGCTTTTCGCCATCGCAATAACTAGCTCTTCCAATTCAACTACGCGCAGTCTGAGCTCTGATATTTCGCGATACCAAGGTGGCGGCGAGGGCCCTGATGGCAAGTCCTGTGTCTCCCTATACTCCGTTAGTGTCATCAACTAATCGGACCGGAAATGGCCTATACCTAATCTGACTTCCCAGCTTCTGTGTCAACGTTTCGCTGGGGGGCTGGGGACGTGGTTTCTTCTGAATCTTCGATGGCATCAATTGGCTCGATGAAGCCGCTGGTGTCCGTTCCTTTCGTTTTACGACTCGAGAAGACTTAGTCTGGTCGGCAGGTAGCAAGCTTTGGGCTTCGATCTTAACCGTCGGTAGGCTGCCTGATGTACTGTACGTCGTATTCATGTTGCTGTCGTGGACGATGCCTCGAGGTCCTTGAGAACCACTGAGACGGTCCCCGACGTTCACTTGGAGATTTTTCTCTGGCTTTACTATACCACTGGGACGCCCCGACAAATCTGCAGGTGTGAGCCTCCTATCGAGAAGCGTCAACGCCACTCTGACGTACCTGGCTTCTTTTCGCGGTCGAGGGTTGCTTTGAAGTCGGCAAACATTGCGTTTTGTAACTGGAGGGATGCCCTGCTAAGGAGGGTCGAATGCGTCCTTCGGGCGGTTGTGCGAGTAATGGATGGTCTCTGACAATTTGGACCCGAAAGTTCTTTCTTTAAACGCGATGAGAGGATGAAGCTATGGCGACTTGGGTGGTGGGAGATTTTTCCGGTACTTTAAATGTTTCACTCCGGGCCCGTAGACACGACACTGGCGTCGAAGAAATCAATGTAGCAAAGAAATCATGAGGACTCCACTCACTGCATTGGCCAGACCGGGAGACTTCTGAAAATGGTGCCCAAGTTAACTCTCCACTGGCAATCCGCCAGTAAACAGAACTGCGTGGCTGCCGCGCGCATGGTGTTCACTCAGCGCTGCACAGTAGAACGCCAGCAGATCTTCGCCCAATGCAATTCCGGTATTCGTTACCTCCCGGAGTTATTGTTCACACTCGAAGTGGCTGCTCGCCCTTGATGGCTAGGGATGATTTTACGAACACCTCCAGATACCCACCCTCACGGACCTGACTGCCCAATGCAGACGAGGCAGGCCCAGCCAAGTTGCTCATATCTCCGCATGGGGACCCCAGCGCGCTGGTACACGGCCGAGGGGTGGCTTTCAGACGACTTGAGGAGGTACACAGACGGGACTCTGTTGGCGAGACAGCGTCGGATGTCCCATGCCCCTGCATCATGCGGCGACAAGGATGGAGAGAGCACATCCACAGGATCTCTCGCAGTGAATCGAAGAGGAGGGGTGCAGGCACGCCTCCCCGGTCCGAATGCCTGCCAACCACGAACATGGGTACATTACCCAGTAAAAGGAGGCGTGCCTGGCTTTCTTCCTGAGCAAGCATTGGCTTTGTTCCCACGCCCCGCTAGATCTTCAGCCTCCGTAGATGGTGGGCAATGAGCGACCAATCACAATGGGCCCTGTGAACGGCCACAGCCCGTCGGTGGATACGCCAATATGAATTCGTACCCTTGTTCAAATACCAGGCGCAAACAAAAAAAAATGATCTGCCAGTTGCTTCTCGTTTTGACCGGTGTGGACACTCAAGCACAGCGGTCAATGGAACGCATGTCTATCATGTCCACGTCGACTGTTGCAGCCTCGTCGCCACTGGGCAGCTGCGCTTGAGAAGTTGGCCCTTCGTCCGGGTACCTGCGGTTCGCAAAGATACACCCTGGTCACAGTCCTGAACCCACTTCAGCTGCAGGTGTCTTGATCGCCTCCTTCGAGCAGAGTTACGGTTGAGTCTGCAAGATTGTGTGACGGAAGCGCCACCTCTGGTAGAAGCTGGCATTTTCTTCCGACGGCCAGGACGACAGCACGTCGAGGTGTCGCTGCGCATCGCAATAACCCTTCGTCAGTGCCGTTATTGACTCGACTTCGCTGTAGTCAAAACAGGCGTAGCCGTTGCTGGTGGGCCCAATCATCAGACGACTGGATGCCACGCGACTACACGCTAACCTTATCGAATGTGGCATACAGGCCAATGCGCCCGTGTCAGAGCGTCCGCTGGCTGCAGCCCTCCGACTGGGGTGCTGCACGCGGATTCAGATCCGTTCATCCCGTAGCGTTCCTTCAGGGAGCGGGTGTCTGCGTAGTGTACATGCACCATGCTCGGTGATGCAGGGGTTTTCAGCGGTCGCCACTCCTGCGGGCTAACCAGCGCACGCCCCTACCCCGGCGCTGTCTGCGAACGACGGAGAATGGAGGGTAAGTAGCACACGCCCCAATCGCCCTCGCGTAACGCCCCCCTTCACCCAGGCGCAGGGATGAGGTTCCGGCCGCGGCGCTGGCTCGGCTTCCGCACCACCGGCGTGGGGCCGTCTAACCCCGCCGCGCCAGGAAAGTCCTGGGACGTCATGCTCGTCGGAGCGTGGTCGCGCGCCAAAAGCGCAGGCCATCACTCCGCAGGTCCCCGCCGTATCTCTTGGTGCTGTCTTTTGTACGAGCCCGTCACTGGTATTAGTATTCGAGCGTACGGCCTTCACGATGTATTGTGCAGTGTATCGAATAGTAAACGCTCCTTCCTTTGATGCCATGTCTGCCCTCTCCTACAGCACCCAGGCGGGAACCTGGCAAAAGCGACTTGAAGGTACGAGAGATTTCTCTGTCCCGCGCCGCCGGGTCTGAACAGCGAATAGATGCCTGCCGGGAGGCCAACATCATGCCACCTGTGTTCCAACTCGTCTCCGAACGGCGAGGTAAGCATACGCTGCTGGCTATTTAAGCGGTCCTGACTCTTTCACAGGGCGGCGCACGGCTTGGTCTAGCCGGGTGACCGTCCACGGTCGCACGCTCTCGGCTCGGTTCTGGTATGACGGGAAGAACTTGAACAATGCAAAGGAGGACGCCGCAGAAATGGCTCTGAACTACCTCACAGGTTCGGATCATAGGCAGCCGACTTGGATTCAGTGGTTGTGACCGAAAGTCGAGAGGACACTGCACTAGAAGCATTGCACTCGAAGATTCATCAGCGCAAGATCGGAGCCGGATCGAGATAGCACATCTAGGAAATGAAATGAAACCATTCAAGCTTTTATGGTAGATTCAAGGTGACTAGGTAATCCGATTGCTTTTCTGCCTTCAGTTCCCCCCAACACCACCGGTCTTTACACACCTGCATCAGCCTACATCTGTCTTTCCTGGCTCGGCAGTTGCACTCATCTGGAGTAAGCCCGGCCTGATCTGGAAGTGAACGATGTTTCTTCCAACCGTTGCCGACAACGTCGATTCGCATAAGCCAACTCAGCTCAGCATCTGAGTTGTTACATTGAATGCCACGAAACATGACGGAAGAGTTTGAGAAACAAGATTTGTGGCAAGATAACAATCTAACAAACGTAGACTTTCCTTGGAAGACTATCCGGGATCATGTGGCAGGCTTGAATCGTTTGCAAACCGGTCAGAACACCCAACAACTCCACGACTGCTGGGATCAAATAGTACAAAAAGAACCCCTCGATCCATTCGCCTTTACCGCTGAGGATTCGTTCCCCATACGCGCTGGCTTTTAGTAGCCCAGTTAGCTGAAGAGGTTCCCACAATGAAAGTGCTGCAACCCTTCTGGTTCGCCGACGGCAATCCCCTGCGGGAGACTTGTACTGTAGTCGCGTCGCTATTCAGCCTCAGGCATTCTGCACTTGAGGAGTCCTGATTTATGAATCCTCGGGGAGTCGTCCTCTTGATGTGCAAGAAAGCGTGTGCAAGTGAGACTCGGCTGCTCGCGAATCTCATGGGTGTTACTGGAGGTTGTTGTCTGATTGTGTTCTGGTGTATTGAGAGATCGCATTGAGTGGTCGCATTTCCAGAATTGCACGCAGACGCGTCTATAGGACTGGAGTTGTTGAGTGTTTTCCGTAAGGCGACATCATTCGGGGTTGAGCTGGACTTTTCTGAGGACTATTTGAATTAGCGTATGCCAGTTGCTGAGTGGGAAGATCAGGGAGCCAAGTACGTGAGAGATTGGTCAGCAGCTGACTGAAGAGTGAGGTGTTGAGTTTCTTCATGCCTATTACGACTGCGTCGGTAATCGGAGCTGAACTCACAGGATCTGCATCCGTAGGGTTTGTTCGCAGTATGGATCATTTTGGGAGAATCGAGGACATCATTTAGCCCGTAGCGTTCCAGACACATCTTGTCTGTCAAGGAATGCTCTCTATCATGCGTGCGAATATGGCGGATGAGGTACAATTGTATCTTAAAGCGTTTCGGACACAATTTGCATCCAAACGCAGGCACTACATTGTGTGTCTTAGTATGCCTCGTGAGTTCCTGTCGTTTCTTGAAGCGTTCTCCACAATCTTCGCATTTTAACCGGCGCTTGTGGAAAATGAGTTTAGGCATGGAGATCGTGCTTGGGAGAGTGTTCTCCCGCCTGGCTTCTTTGTTAAACTGTCAACATACTCGGCGCTGATGGAAGGCTAAAGGGGTTCAGATGGCGACAAACCTGACTAGTGGAAAATTTGTTGCTGATACGAGCAGTGAGATCGTAGTACTGACGAAGGGATTGATGGATGCAAACAATTTCTCAATGGGAAGAACAATGGCGGACGACTGATGATAGGGATCCCTGCGTTCGGGTGTGACAATACTCGTCCGGTCGCTCCTTTGGATGGGTTCTTCAGGCTCAGGAAAGGTACCGCAGCTTCTCGGGAAGACTCGTGAGGCGTATGGAGTGACGGAAACGGAATTCGTTGATGCTTATGAGGAAATTTGAAAATGGAGGAGACCGCAAACTCAGAGTTGTCCGTAATTTCCCAACACACTTCCTGGGCACCGAATTTGTGGCAAATTGTGCTGAGCTGGGCTATTCCGATATTGGAAAGCTTGCTATCCGGAGTGCAGGGGCTGGACTTCTCTAATTGCCCCCTGCATTGGAGATTGGAGCGGTCAGCTTTCTTTTGCGTGCACAAGGTACCGTGTCATCTCATGCCTTGATTTGGGTGCTGTCAAACATTGTTGCAGCACCATCAGGAAATATCACACCCTCGCCCTTGTCAGGGGCTGCCAGAATGAAGCAGTCATAGCCCAGGCTACAACCGGATCGTCAAGTCGCGCCCGCCTGATCAGGGTCTGCTTGTTTTGCCGGCCGCACCTCATCTCCTGTCTTCTCTCAGCCTAGGACGGAACTTGGTAAGCACGTCACCTTGAATTTCCCCACTTAACTGCCCTGTCGCCAAGGAACCAGGCATAACTAAGCAGAGACACTCAACCAAGAAGCCGAAAGCCTCCAAGACGACATTCCTAGCTGCAGAGCTCCAACCCGGTATGAACCGCTCAACAAATAGCCTGAGGCATCAGAGAGCTTGGGACTCAATGACTACACCTCTTCCGGGACGCCTAAAGCTCCTCGGCATTCCTTCAGGTCAACGCAGGACATCCGAACCCTCATCAAAAGCCAGACATCCAACTCTACCGATAGATACCATGGTTCCTCCGACTTCTTCCAGGCTGTGTGCCTTACCCTACAGAAGTGGAAACTCGAATAAGTCGACATGAGACCCATACATAGAGGAAACTACGGGGGCAATCAGGGCTACCTACCGTGAGGAACGAGGACACAGGCCTCCAGAGTGCCTTACTGACTCGACATGAGCGGTTTTTGTGGACTGACGACGCTTTGGCTTGTGAAATTGACATCGTAGAGGCTCTTCGGAATGTGTAAATCCTTCTACTATCCGATTGTTGCGCCTTACCTCTCGTGCAACGAAGTAGGTTAACTCTAGTGCAATGGGCCATGTTCGTCTGGAGGTTGAAATGAAGTTACGGAAGGGCAGTTTCTCTATCTAGGGAAGCACATCCCATTTAACACACAAAAGCTATCAAGCAAAGCTGCGGCCGCCCGCCTGTCTGGTCCTCGAGTCTCGGCCGGTGACTATGTGAATCTCGATGTCGAACGACGGTCTCAACTCCGGAGACATCTGTATCGCTAGTCGCATGTGCTCATCCACCTTTCTCTTCAT